ATTTCTGTGCCCTGACCTTGGACTTTATAGCCTCTAAAACTTTGAGAAATAAATGTCTCTTGTTCATAATTCACAGTCATGGATTATTTTGTTACAGCAGACCAAATTAATGAACTATGCAAATAACTTCTTCAGAAGTCACAGAACACACAGACAGGGTTTCTTTATATAGCCCCAGCTGTCTTAAAACTCTATTTAGAGCGATCCTCACAGAGATCTACCTATACCCAAGTGCCAGGTACTCCAGTTATATCTCTAACTGGGTACTTATTAAAAAAATTCTCCTTGCATTTCTACCTCTAAAAATCCCAGCGGCCTTCAGTTCACATTGGTACCACCTTCTTATGACCTCTGTGAGAGCAAGACTTGAGATCGTGCCAGTTTCTATTCCTGTGACATAATATGTCTGTGGGAATGGCTTTCTCTGACAACATGGGGCCTCGCCATCCACTTCTTCACTCCCTGCCCACCATGTTCTGGCTTCGCGAGCATGCCAATGGGAACAGTGTTTGGAAGTACGACCTCTTCATTGCTAATCTAGAAAATACTTCTCATGTTTTCCCCTATGTCATACCTCAGGATAGACTCTTGAGACCATGGACTTGACCTTCAGCATTCCCTCCTGCTGACCTTCACAGCATGCCAAGTTCTCAGCTTTCCTCTGATCACACATTGTCTTCTCAGGCTGTGATTTAGGGATTCCTCCCTTTTCTGACCAGAAATGTATGATTTCTTCCTGTAAATGTTCAGCCTTTCTTCTCCTCTTAAGCTGCCTGCCCCATGTGGGTGAGATCATCCACACCCACATGTCAAGTCTCTCTCTCTCTCTCTCTCTCTCTCTCTCTCTCTCTCTCTCTCTCTCTCGTGCACATATCTCTCCTGAGTGTCCCAGCACTCCTTCCAAAGACATCACCACCACAATCTAAATTTATCACCACGCTTATTCTCAATTTATTAAAGGATAGCAGACAATAGTTCTTAGATTCATTTTCACCCTGTGTGATTCATATCCATTTTTCTCCAAGGGGGACATAGTTCATATTTAAATCAAAAAGAAAATGCAATAGAAAATAATTTCTAAACTAAAAATAAGGAGTTCTTCTACCAAGTATTACATACTGTATGCAGTATCATGAATACCATTACTTTGTATGATCGCTTAAAATTAATGAAAAATAAATAAAAATAATTTGGAGTCCATCTAAAAGCAGTTTTGTGCAGTAAGGTTTCTCTGTAAACTTTATTAAAGACTTTTAGGATGTCTTTATGTAACCTTTTACCTTGTGTCATAGTATAACAATGTGTGTTGGGGGCTCCCTTACAGAGAACCCATTAGAATTTGTAGAGAGTGTGAGTCTGCTATTGGCAAAAGAAGTTAGAATTGTCTGTACTTAGGAAAAAATTTCCACATTTTCCATGACTAAAATCTGTAGACAAATTTGGACAGATTAGATTGATTACTACCAGAGATAGGATTTTCTGGTTTCCCTCCCTAAAGTTAACAATAATCTTTAGCTGGTTCACATCCAACTTCTGCTGATGACAGAGTGGGGGTGAGGTGGGGACACAATGGGATGACAACTGTTGTGCCAGAAGATCCACTTGATTTAGCATATATTAACTCCAAAGAAAGATCATTACAATTGATTCTAACCATAATTTCTCATAGCTTGGGAATAGCCGGGGGAGAAAACCAGGCCAGATAAGAAAATAATAGAGACAGCCATCTTCCTAAGAGTGAACACAGCCCAGAGTAGCAGACATCCTTGTTACATATATCAAAAGCCTAAAATGGTACGGCATACAGTTGCTGCCCAATGTTTGCTTTGTGTGTTGTTATTTGAGTGTCATATAATTTTTAAATGTCACAAAATATTATTCTTCTTTTGAAAATTTCAACCACTTAAAATGTAGAAACTATTCATTCCTCATAGAAGGGCTTCATCTGGCCATAGCCTGCCACTTGTTCAGCTGTGCTAATGTTCTTGCCTGTGGTAACAACCTCATAACCATCCATGTAAGCAGCACCACACAAGAAGTTTCTCTGAGAACCACGCTGGCAATAACATCCCCATGCAGAAGGTCCCTGTATCTCCATACAGACTAGAGCGTCAAGTGCAGGCTGATTGGCCGGAACATAATGTGTGCTCATGACGGAAGCCAAGCAGCAGGCTTAGTCATTTTCCTCCATAGTGTCCAATACCTCACTGAGCCAGGTTCCCCGAGAAGGAGTCTACTTTTCCCCACCCCACTCCTTTGCCAACATTTGTTCTGTCTACCTAAAATGCCTTCTCTACCCCATGCTTATCTCTTTGTGTGAGAAGTCTTTCCTTTCTTCCGCCTTCCTCCCCAAACCTAATCTACTCCACACACGCTCCAGCCAATTGTAACCGCTCCCTTAGCATTGCATTCTCTGCAGTAGATGCTATATTTTAAATGTATTAAACAGATTCTATTCCCTGTAATAATTGTGTAGATGATCTCCTGCTTCATATTAATCTATTCAATGTCAGAGACTGCAGGCTCCACTTTTAGAGAGGTCCCTGCTCGGATTCAACAGTGGGATTCAATGAATATTTGTGAAATGTAAATGAACAGCCTAGAATGGCTCAGAAGAAAATCACGTAAAGAATGTGAAAAGCCCTTTGCAATTTCACAAAACAAGAAAATAAGTGGTTTTCATATTTCAGAGTTTCTTCTAAAACGAAGCTGTAGATAACAGGAGAGAAAGAAGACATTGTTTCTTTTATTGAGTTCCTATTCAACTTATGAAAAAAGATATTGAAAAATCAAATTATTGAAGCTTAATTAACTGTTATAATTGGCATTAAATGAAAGGCTCCCAATTAGCTGTAAACTGAGTAGACGGCAAAGGAATCTTGCCGAGACAGAAGGCTCCCTGGACCCTAATAATAGCTACAGGCAATTAGCCACACGTGTTCATGAAGCACGGCAGAGAAAGAGGATTTAAGCTTAGCTGGACAGGTCAGAAAGCAAATCCTCTATGCTTAGAAATGGAAACCACCAGATCAGAGTCACTAGTTTCTCTGAGAGGGACTGTCCACGAACAGGGTCTGTTAGAATGTTCTGGCTTTCTTTGAATTCATCTTATCTTCATTTACCCAGTGTCATGTGGTGTTTGCCTCACTCCTTCTGGAACCATCAAGACATTACCAAGTAGTAAGAAGAGTAGCTCATTGTTTAAGCCCAAACTGATTGCTAGAAGCCAATTATCTGTAGTAGCAGGAAAAATAATAAACTTGTCGTTGTCTCACACAGGCACTGTGACACTTCACACTTCCCTTCTGGGGCCTTCTGTGCATGGGGGGTGTTCCTACATACTAGGCAATTCTTTGACTCACCTCCAGCAGGGTGTCATCTAATTAGATTCTGGCACTATCTACCTGGAGTTAGAGTCAGACCCCACAGTTTAAGGGCTCAAGGCTGTTCCATATTTCAAATGCTAATTGCTAGTTTAGGAGTTCAGAACCTGACCAACCATCCATAAGTTAGAACTTCTCATGACCCCTGCCTTGGGTTCAGACATTTTCTAGAATGCCCCACAGAACTTAGCAAACAGTTTACTTACCCATTTATTATAAGGGGATGTAGTATTCAGATAGAAGACATGCCAATGGTAAGATATGAGGAAATGGGCACAAGTCTCCGTGTTCTCTTGGGGTACACTCTCTTCCATGCACTCAGCAACCCCAGAAGCTCTCTAAATCCAGTCCCTTGGGGTATTTATAGCGGCATCAGTGCATAATCATATTTAATCAAATCACTGATGAGGATCAATTAGCTATTCATTCAACCCCCAGCTCTCTCAGGTCAGAAAACCTCTAACCAATAGTTGGTCCCCCTGGTGTCTTAGTTACTTTTCCATTGCTGTGATAAAACACCACCACCAAGGCAACTTTGTAGAAGGAAGTGTTAATCTGGACTTATGGTTTCAGAGGGACATGAGTCCATCCATCGCCATCATGGCGGAGAAGAGTGGCAGCAGGCAGACATGGCATATGAAGCAGAGGCTGAGAGGTCACATCCTCAACAGCAAACATGAAGCATGAATGAGTCTTTAAACTCCCAGGGCCTGTGTCTTGTGAAATATGGCCTCCAACAAGGCCACACCTCCTATGACTCCCCAAACAGCACTGCCAAATGGGGATCAGGTAGCCCAAAGGGAAACATTCCCAATCTCACCACTTGTTAACCTGCCGCTACACTGAAACCATCCTGGACCCTAGCTGTCACTAACTTCTTTATTGCCCATAAAGACACTTCTCATTTCCAAAATTTCATGTTTGGGGAGCTATGCCCCAGAAAAGTAATATAGACATCACACAGGACAAAGACCCAAATTTGTTTCTTGTTATATCACAGTATCTAAGATGTGAAAATTTTACTGAGGTGAGGCATTTCTGTCCCAGTTTGCTGGGACAGAAATTTAACAATTTAACAATGTTAAATTTAAAATTTAACAATGAGCACCAAATGTGTGCTTATGGCTTCTTTTACTTTTGATTTGACAGGCATGTTGCTGTTTCAGTGGGTGGGGTTACAAAACAAGCAATAAAATATCACAGACAAACAGAGTGAGAATATTAAAGGAGTATGAAAGCTAGCTGAACAACATGACTGAGGCCAGGTTGGTGAACAATTACCAGCCTACTTTACCACAGGAAAGCATTTACTGTGAAGGACATTTCAGGTGCAATTTCCATGCCATGTAAGTAGTTGTCTTAGTTATGGTTTCTATTGCCGTGAAGAGACATCATGACCATGGCAACTTTTATAAAGAAAAATATTTAATCGAGTAACTTACAGTTTCAGAGGTTTTGTCCATTATCATCATGGCATGGCATGGCGGCATGCAGGCAGACACAGTGCTGGAGAGGGAGCTGAGACTTCTACATATTGATATACAGGCAACAGGAAGTGAACTGTATCATTGGGCATGGCTTGAGCATAGAACTCAAAGCCAGCACCCACAGTGATGCACTTCCTCCAGTAAGGCCACACCTACTACAACAAGGCCACACCTCCCATTAGTGCCACTTCCTTTGGGGGACATTTTCTTTTAAACCACCACAGTATTCAAGAGTAAGTCAGCCTCTGCAGGTTCCCCAGCTGTCAGTCCAGAGTCATTGAACTCCCACCAGCTCAGGTCAGCTGTTTCTGTGGATTTCCCCAACATGGTCTTGACCTCTTTGCTCCTGTTATCACTCCTCCCTCTCTTGGACTGGATTTCAGGAGCTCTGCCCAGTGGTCAGTTGTGTATCTCTAGAGGAGATAAAATTTTTAAGCAAACTTCTACACCTCTGTATTAATTTCAGACAAGGCAAGTTCTGAGTAAGGCAAGTTAGGTGTGAAGACAGAATTGAACAATGACAAGGGGGTCAGTTCATGAAGAATACATAACAATTCATACATAGTTGCTTAGCAGTAGGGCATTCAACTAGATGAAGGAACTTCGGCAGAATTACACAGAATCGAGTTAGTCCATTTTACAGTTGGAGACTTTTGGTGCTCGGCACCACTGTATCTAAGGCGGGCGAAGAGTGACAGCAGCTGGGAGTGCAGTGACTATGCAGTTTAGCAACAAGCAATATGGTGAAGTAGTGGTTTGGTGGCAGGAATGGTGGCCACCAGGTGGGGTTGTTTCTATAGTGATGAATTCTCAGAGGTGGAGGTATGCCATCATTCCTATCTCCAGAATAGGGCTCTGGTTCCAAGGTGCCACCGAATTGTAACCACACTGTCCATGGGATGCAGGGCACACCACCAACTCCTCCTTTGGAGACAGTGGATCTGTTAGATCCCAGGCAGCTTTCTCTGCTGGGCCAACTGCCTATGAGGGCTACAGAGGTTCCCTTATTGACCAGCCTGTAAGAGTCCAAGGTGGTTCCAGTCCTCTGATGTTCATGGGTACTGTCCTTTAGTTGTTTTGTCCGAATGTGACAGTTGGTTCTTTGCTTGGCTGTTCTTGTGGGAGGAGGTGGCCACTATACACATGTATCTTATTGACATGACTCCCCCACGAACTCTTAAAAGTCAAGAATAAGAAAACAAAGAACTCAATTAAAATGAAGGCCAAGACCTTAACAGTTCGCCCAAGAGGATATTCAGATGGAACATAAGCACAAGAAGAAATATTCTATGTGATTTGTCACTAAGGAAATGCAAATCTAATCAACACTACAATCCTATCAAACTTCTATCAGAATGGCCATATACAAAACCCAGCTCTCAATACTAGAAACAAGAGCAGCAATTTTTGTCCATTGTGGGGGCACTTAAAAATGCTGTAACTGTAAATGGAAACAATTTGGCAGCTTCCAGAAAAACTAAACACAGCCCCGCTTTACAACAATCATGCTTTTGTGTTTAGTCAAATGACTTGGAAGTGAATGTCCACCTGTGGATGTTGATAGCATTCATGATCCAGAACATGGAAGCTTCCAAAGGTAAATGGGCAAGTAGATTGTAGCCTGTCAAGACAATGGGATTTTATTCAGCAAGTTGTTCTCTGACCTCCACATGCTTCCTCCCACCACACACACAAATAAATAAACCAGCGTAACAAAAATGTTAAGCTGTCAGAGCTTGAGACGTACATTTCATTTAATGCAATAAGAATTTTCATGTCTAACTCCACGCACTTCTTTTCTTCAGAAATGCCGTACTAACTGGCTTTGCAGGAGACGTCAGTGAAGTAGGGAAATTACTGTAAGTGAGAGAGGTTTCCACTTCACATTTCACCATGTCTAAATGTGGGTGGCTTCTCCCGTCTCTTAATTGCCAAGAGATTTGTCGGATTTTTATATTACTCGCCTAATTGCTTATATCCTTTAGAAATAGCATTTTAGATACTGTTTGTCCTTAAGCTGTCGCCCTTGAGCAAATAACATGAATGTTCGATTTGCTCTCACGACAATAAATGGACAAGGTTAGTGCTGACACCTACTGTTGGCAGAGGGTATGGGTTGCCACTCTTTTTGGAAGACTCTGGGAGCTGGACAATCGAGTAACTGGTGGGACCCCAGGAAAACCTTGCTTGTCATCCTGAAAATGGGAGTGACATCCTTAAACTCCTGAGACAGACACGGAAGGTTCTGGGAATGGAGGATAATAAATGTCAAGAGAACTGTCCATTTTTTCACCCACGAGCTTTCCTGGGTGACTTTTCCTGGGAGACCCTTAGCAAACCCTTTAAATCTTGTATTGTTTCTGTTCTGTGGAGCCTTACAACACACTGAATGGCTTCAGAACTGTTTCGTAGGGCTGGCGGGGGGGGGGGTAGGAGTACAGAAATATTCCTTTATCTTGCTCTTTTTGCGCAGACACATCGGTCTAAATTCTAAACTTGATTTTTTTTTTTTTAAACTGGCTATCTTTGAGTCATCTTTATTTTTCCTCTCGAGATATTTTCCACCACAACTTGGGTCATAGCTCTTGTATTATGTCACGCTGCTTATTTTAGAAGCTGTGTATCATGTGAGGTGCCACACTTCATCGCCTCACAGTTACTCAGGTGTCCTGTGAATAGCTGTAACCCAGAGTGGTGGGAAGCGACCCAGAATGCAATTGCAATTAGATGGAAACACACACAGCCTAGTTAAGGGCTCAGCGGGATGTAATTGTTAGGCAGGAATTTCTATACAAACTCAAAAAATGTCAGTGTCTGACATTATTCATTCTTGTCAACTCAAAGGAGGTTTGGGCAGGTCTGGAAAGATAGACTAGAAACTCAGGAGCTTTGATATACATAATCACCTGCCCCCCACCTCTGATACCGCCCCTCCCCCCAACACCCCAGCTAATGGCCATACCTAGTTTTACAATTGTCTTCTTGCATCCCTGCTTCTCACTCTCTGTACCTCCTTTATGTGATCCATTATGCATCAGAAAACAATATATTTGTTTCTAAGAACTGTTAGGGACTTTCCTGTGATGATATTTTGTTTATGCTATAATTAACAAAGCTTGCCTGAAGATCAGAGTACAGAGTGAGCAACACTAGTTAGCCATAGACACCGGGCAGTTATGATGCACACCTTTAATTCCAGCACTCAGGAGACAGAGGCAGAGGGATCTCTGTGAGTTCAAGGCCACTCTGGGCTACATGAAATTGACCCAGTCTAAAAGAGAAACAGAGCTCACACAAAGGTGATCCCAGTACTTGGGATCACATGCCTTTAATTACAGCACTAAGGAGGTAGAGACAGGGTAGTGATAGGGAGGTAGTGATAGGGCTGGGCAGAGAGAGGACTATAAGGCGGGAGGAGACAGGAGAGAGATGCAGCCTGAGAATCAGTGCGGTGTAAGGAACAGTGCAGGCTAAGCAACACAGTCAGAGGCAGTCTGGGGACAGGATCGCCCCTTTGGTCTGAGCATTGGTAGAGGTAAGAACTCTCTAGTGGCTGGTCACTTTGCTTCTCCGATATTCCAGCTCCCCCCACCAATATCTGACTCTGGGTTTTTGGTTTTTTTTTTTATCATTAATACTGATTAGAATTAATCATACCTTCCCTTCTTCCAAAATAAGAACTTCCTAAGCTGGTGTGCTGGCTCATGCCTCTAATCTTAGAACTTGGGAGACTAGGGCAGGTGGATAGCCATGGGTTCAAAGCCAACCTTGGCAACACAGTGAGCTCTTGGCTAGCCTAGGCTACAGAAGGAGACCCTATAGCAAAAAAAAAAAAAAAAAAAAAAAAAAAAAAGGGGGAGAGGG